TACCTGGCCCGGGCACGCTGGCGGGGGTGTACTCCACCTCCGGGCGCACGCGCGCGCGAGCACACATGCACGTCTGTCCCCCCTCGCCCCACGCCCCGGGGGCGGGCCCTCTGACCGGGGGCAGGCGTCGGGCGCGCCGTCCTGGGCTGGGGGCGGAGAAGGGGGGCGGGGCGGTTGGTGCGAAAAAATGCGCCCGACCGCGCTCCCCCCCCCCCCCTCTTCCAGGGCCCTCGAACGGCGCGCAGGCACGAGGGCGCCCGGCCGGCCGCGGCCCGGCCACGTCCGGCCCTTCTGCGGGGCCTGGCATGCTGGTCGGGTGGCGGGCTGCGGGGGGGGGGAGGGGAGGAGGAGGGGGAGGGGGGGCCACATGCGCGCATCTGCCGCTCCGGCGGGCGGTGGGGGAGGGGGGGCCGAGCGCGTGAATGACCACACGCCGGACAGCAGCAACAACAACAACAACAACAATAGCCACAACACAAACGTACGCCCGGGCGCGCGCGGCCTGCCCCCCCCGCCCCCCCCCCCCCCCCGGGTGCAGGCGCCTGGACGAGGCCGGCATGGGGCACACGGTCCACGAGCGCTCGGCCCGCCAGGGCCCGGAGGGAGCTGGCACCCCCGGAGGGCGGGCACCTCGCCGCATCGTGTGCGCGAGCCCCCCCTCCCCTCCCTCCGCCGGTCCCAGCGCCCTTCAGGTGCCGGCGCGGCCAGCTGGCAAATCGACCCCGCGAAAGGGCGCCAAAATGCGCGGTGTCGCGGGCGCGCGCGCGCGCGTGCGCGTTCATGCCGACTCGACCGAGCATTGGCTCCTCCGCCGTCCGGCGCGAGGGCCCAACCCCGGGTCCAGCCTCGGCTCTCCCCGGCCGGGCCGGCCCCCCCCGCCCCCGCCCCCGCTGGGGAGCCGGCGCGAATGGGCGGGCTGCGGCCGCGGCGTTGCGCGCCCAAAGGAAAAGAAAAAGGCGCCGGCCGAAAGAAGGGGGCGCGCATTTTCCCGCCGGCCTCCCCGAGGCATCCGGAGTTATTACCGACGCCGGCCGGCATATGGGGCGCGTGGCGGCATGCGCGGCCCGAGCGCCGGCCGTTCAGGCAGGCGGGACAGTGCGAGGGGGCTCTTGACGGCCTCCGCCCCGCCGGCCCAG